TTTTCTTATGTGGGCTGCAAATAAAAAACAAAGTGAAAATAAAAATTAATAATTGTGAGGCTGTTGCACATCTCGGCAAATAACCTTATTTTGGAAGGACTTTTCATTTCTTCTCATCTAACTGAGATTTTTTTCCCAGAACACAGCTTACCTTTTCATAGATCTTTTCTCCGCTTCCTTTTGATTGAGCCATATTTTTTCAGAAAGTGATTTATTAGATAAATAATATCTGAAATAGTTACTAAGTAAGTTTTGGAAGCATCAGAGCACATATTTATACATGTGAGAATTCTAATAATCATATAAATTACACTGGTTCATAATTATTGAGCTGTAGAAGCAAGTACTGCACTGCTTTCAAAACTGAAATACGCACAGTTTCACACAATCCTACTAGTTTAATGCATGAGGAAGTGACATTTGAGTTCCGAACCCCCACGCTCACTTCACTTGCAGCAAACTAAGTATCCTGTTTCTACAACAGCATTTTTCTTCATTTTCATCATACTGATACCTTATCTATTTTCAGATTATGCCCAAATAATATATTCTATTAGAAAACCTTCAATTGCTTTATTTTCTTGTTCCTCTACTACTGCATATTACTATACTCAATTACAAAGAGAACATGAAAATAAATAAGCCTGTGATTACTATTGATATAGCCTACCTAGTCTGCTGAAGTCAACTTACGATGGAAACGCTACTAATGGTAAGACTATTTATGACAACACTGCTTAAAAAAAAAAAAAAAGGAAGAAAAAAAAAAGCAGCAGCTGTTCCTTCCCGTTTTCATTTTGCATGCTGGCAGAAGCATGAATGGAGCCAGACAAAATCTGACAGTAAACCAGTCCAAGTGAAGAACAAGTCAGCGAAAAGAACTAGCTATTTTCAGCCAGGTCAGCTGTTTGATCAGGTTCACTGTGAAACCACACAAATGGCTGCATCAGCACAATGAATAAGCAACTGAAGTGGGGACAAACATTGCTATTTTTGGTGCCAGTGTCAGCTTTAATCTGACAAGCTTCAGAGTCCTTTTCTGAACAATCAGAAGCACCAGAAGCTGCAGGTAGCTAGGTGATTAATTCAGGGGCCTCCCTAACTTCTGCAATCTGCCTACAAAATGACAGTGCTTCAGTCACCTTGACAAGAAATAATTTGTCCAGTTCCTTTGGAAACAGCAAGATTTCTATTGTTCTACAGAAAAGCGTACAAGCAAATCAGGAAAAGGATACTCTTCTTCCAGCAGCATTTTCTCAATGACAGCCCTGTTTTCTTCACTAATGCTGCTGTCCAATGTCCATGGCTGCAAACAATACAAATATGTTTTAATATTTTAATTCTGTCACACTGTTACTTGAGTATCAAGAATCAATATGTAACAGCTTCTAAAACAAGCAAAAAGCACTGGTTAAAAACCTAAAACTGCATGTACATGGAGAGAAGAGAACGAAAAAAACAGCAGTTCTGATAACCTTGCTAGAAGTACCATTCATTTAAAAAATACTTACAAGACTGTTATCAGTTCTCCAAGATGAATCAAGATAGTGATCCTGCAGCAAACTGGAAGCTGTGTTTTCATGATCTCTGAAAAAGATTCCAATATTCAAAACAATGCAAACACATTCTGACAAAAATGCTGTCAGAGTGAAAATAATGCACCGAGGATGACAGAATTAAATACTAAAATTAAAATCATGTATTACAGACTATTATATAACGTTACTCTCTTATAATATTCCATTAGACTTAGCGTAAGTCTCCCTCAGTAAGTCATCTTTTTTTAGTAATTTCAGTAGCAACTCCTCACCTATCTCATTACAGACTGCATGAGATATCAGTGAAACCCTGAACAGTAAAAACTCTCAGCCAGAAAGACTGAAAGCAGGAGGGACCATGTAAAATATACACAAATGAAAGAAGCCAGAATTTTATGGACAATTTAAAAACTATATTGTTAATATTAAAAACGTCATTGCATAGTATTATCTCCACTTAACATTTCTACATCTTTCCCCAACAAGGCACAAAAAAACCCAAACTTACAAAGAAAAATCTGTTTTCCCCCTGAGGAAAGCTCACACTTACACAAGGTTTAACAGGATCCTATCATACAGGGTCTATCCTATCATACAGCCACTTATGGACTTCATCCAGATTATGCTTGATCTTTTCTGTAAATAACTAGTTATTACTTTTAGAAAGCTGTCACTGATTAACATCACTGATCAACTTTCATCTATTTTAATGCAGCATAAAATCTCCTTAGTAATTAATGTATTTTTTACTTTGCTTCCAGAATGCTCAAGCTTTACTAAAGACTAACTACCCCTCTATCCCTTGCAATGCTACTAAAATTAAATTCAGCTACTATTCTGAACTGCTTTGTGCCAGCAGTTCAAACATGTCTTTATAGATAAGGACAAATCCTCCTGTACTGCCAGAAACCAATATAATTCCTGCTTGTTTTGCAGCATATCAAGAAACGGATCAGATCAATAGTCGCCTTTGCCTAGTATTCTGTCTCTAGCAGTAGCAACAGCAGATGCTACTCCAGGACAGCATGTGAGTCCGGCCACTGTGTCTGACACAATTCTCTCACACTCTCCCAACATCTGTAGCTGCTAGATTTGTAGCGTTAGGATTGCTGCCCGTTCACTTCAGCATCTGTTTACAGATCCCTTACCTGTGAATTTGCTGAATCAGTTTTCCGACCCTCCTTATGTTCAGTTTTCTGAACCCATCTGCCTCCGCAAGTTCGCTACCAGTTATGCAACACAGTACCTTCCGCCCCTATATTTTAAAGGAGTCTCCCCGCAGCCTCACCACCCAGTGTCCCTACTTCATGTACTGTTGGATCCGCTGACAGCGGTCCTGTGTTCACCTCACTTCAGTGACTTCTGAGGCCCCATTCTCACCGCCCTGCCTGATGATCATAGAACGGTTTAGGTTGGACGGGACTTTGAAGATCATCGAGTTCCATCCCCCTGCCCTGGGCAGGGCCACCTCCCCCCAGCCCAGGTTGCTCCAAGCCCCGTCCAACCTGGCCTTGAACACCTCCGGGGATGGGGCAGCCACAACTTCCCAAGGGAATTTGTTCCAGTGTCTCATCACCCTCATAGTGAAAGATTTCTTCCTAATATCTAATCTAAATCCGCCTCTTCCAGTTTGAAGCCACCCCCACCTCGTCCTGTCACTACATGCCCTTGTAAAAAGTCCCTCTCCAGCCTTCTTGTAGGCCCCCTTCAGATACTGGAAAGAATGTGATGCTCAATATTGGCGCTTCCCCGCCCCCGGGCCCCACGAGAGTCCAAGGTATCTCCTCTGAGGCGGTGTGAAGCACCGGCAGTGGCCGGGACCCCGGGCGAGGGCGGCCCTGACAGGGCACCCCCTCAACAAGCGACAGCACAGGGGGGGGGAGGCGCTGCGCGGGGCTCCGAGACCGCCCTCCCCCTCACCGCCTCCTCACACCAACGCGGGGGAGAAGGAACCAACAAAACCAAACAAAAACGAA